TGGTGGATTTTTCACATGCCAACACCCCCCCCACCCCGCTGCATCCCTGGAGCTTTCTCTGCAGCTCCCTGACACAGTGTGTGATCTGCACCAGCTCAGTTCTTGCCTCCTCTTTGGCTCTGTGCTGCTCTCATCCATCTCACCAGAGGGCCTCGCCATGGGCTTTACCAAGTTCCTTCTGAGGATCAGATGGAATGATAGATGGAGTACATCTATTGGAGGAATGATTAACTGAACTAATTATATGGATGCAAGTGTGAGTGTGAGTGTGAGTGTGTGTGTGTGTGTGTGTGTGTGTGTGTGTGTTCTCTATTGTTTTCTTTCCAATGTGCTAGAAATTGAACCTAGGTAGGCAAGGACTCAGCTGCTGAGATACACTGCCAGCCTAGGAAAGTGGCTTACAAAATGCCAACTTCAATACAATTGCTAGTTATAGCAAATCATTAAGAAGGTTGGTTCTGTCTTCAAACTAGCTGTGTGACTTGGATGTGTGATTTAAGCTGTCTGTGCCCCAAGTTGCCAGGGGGGTGGTAATTAAAGTTTAAGAATCCAGTGGAATAGGAAAATAAAGAATTGAGAACAGTGGTCACCTGGTCGCCCATGATCACCTCGACAGGAAGAGGAGCTGTCAATCAAGGCTTTCAGTGATTACCTAGTGTCAGAGCAGGAGGTGAGATTCACTCATTATAAACGCTGACATGGACAAACTGATTTTCAAGAAGGCCTGGACAGAGTGCTATGGGGACATAGGATTTAGGTGGTGGATCTGCTGTGCTGCAGGAGAGATTCCCTCCTAATCTAGAGCAGGGAGTGAGGAAAGAGCAAGGAGAAACAGCTTTGAAATATTTTGGGGAGAGAAAAACTTTTGTTTTTAATCAAATGAGAGGAAAGGACAAGCAGTACCAGTGTTTGGTGAGTCAGTTCAGGAACAAGCTGGAGTTTCATCAGCTACCTGAGATGTCCTTTTCCCGAATACCTAGTGGGATCACTGGTAGAGGATTAAGTGCCTGGAAGGAGGCACAGGATGTCTGGGACCAGCTGGTCCCCACAGAAAGGACAGGCAACCACCTGTGAGTGGATCACAGGAAAGGGGCCATGGCTAAGCCAGCTGACTTTGGAACCAGGCAGAGTGAAGGCCCCACAGGCCTCAGCTCCAGAGAAAGCTGAAGAGGGGGAGATCTAGAAGCCACTCTGTTTGGGGCTGGTGCCTGAGGACAAATGGAGGTCCCCAGTTGTAAGTGATGTTCCCTTCCTAGCTGACCCTTAGGCTGGCCTTTCTGTGGGCAAGGGCCTGCTATTGGGATAGTCTGTGTGTTTTTTGAGCTAGAAAGTCCCAGGGCAGAAACTTCAAGCAAGGAGAGAAGAAAGTGAAGAACTGAGTCAGCCAGGTGGTGTGAGCTTGAGGGGGTTGGCATGGGAGCATGCCCTGAGCCTGGAAGTTAAAGTCTGTCTGGGCTACTCTCTTTAAAAAATATGGAACTTGGAATGTTGACTCTCATGCATAATCCCAGCACTCGAGAAGCTCGAGTGGAAGATTGAGAGTTCAAAGCTAACCTGGACTGCATACCCTGCTATAAAAAAAAAAAAATAGAAACAGAAAAACAGAGGACTTCATAGCAGCCAGTGTTCTGATTGCTCATGAGATAATGACCAGCTCCCCGGCCGTGGACCAAGCCACAGTCTCTGCCCTCTGGAGGATGGGGGTGAACCTGACACCCCACAACAAAGAGACAGTGTGTCACAGTGGTGTGCTCCTCCTGGCTGTGAAGCCATATATCACCCGTTCATCCTGATGAGGTTGGTGCTGACATTGAGGTCGGGCACATCATGGTGCTCTCTGTGGCAGACGCCATCATCAACTCCATTGAAAAGAAGCTGACAGCTTCCAAAGGCATCCACTGTGTGACTGACACCCCAGTTGATGTGCAGGAGGGGGGTACTGTGCATGCCACACACACTCATGTTCAGGTGGATGATGGCCAACTCAGAGAGTGGCTCATGGGCAGTGTGGACTTCTGGACAGAAGTGGAAGGAGATTTGACCAATGCTGTCACAGGGCTCAGTTGTCACAGGGCTCAGTGGCAGCGGCCCTGCCTATGCTTTCAAGCCCTGGATGCTCTGGCTGATGGTGGTGTGAAAATGGAGTTTACAAGCAAGGGGCCTGACAGTCTGCCTTGGGGCCCAGGCCCTCCTGGGGGCAGCCAAGATGCTACTGGACTCAGAACAGCATCCTTGGCAGCTCAAGGATAGTGTCTGCTCTCCTGGTGGGGCCACCACCCATGTCTTGTGTGTGCTGCAAAGTGGAGGCTTTTTGCTCCCTGCTTATCAATGCCATGGAGGCCTCCTGCACCTGCACACGGGAGCTGCAGACCATGGCTGATCAGAAAACCCTCTCCTCTGCTGCCTTCAAAAAGACTGTACTGGACAAGGTGAAACTGGACCCCTCTGCTGGGGCCTCTCTGTCTTCTTCTGCCTATGTTAAGGCCTGCAGCCTGGCCTCAGCAGGCAAGAATTTATATGTATATTATTAATACAAACTAGTTTACACCTCAGCAAAGAAGTGGGTGAGAGATGGAAGAACTCCTGGGACCAGGCCACTGAAGCAAGGAAGGGACCAACAGGAGACCAGAATTGGAGGAGGCAGCTAATGACAGAGGACACAGCTGCCCAGACAGAAAGGGACTACCTGAGCCAACGTGACCCAGGGAAGGCTATGGTTTGGTAAAGATACAACATGCAGGAACACAGCTTGGGTAATCACAGTGACTGTGTATCTGTGGCCTCCGACATTCATTGCTTGTGTTGGGAACAACTGTCCTTGATCCTCACTACTCGGAAGTATACAATTAATCTTTTTTTTTTTTTTTC